CAGTATGAGTGCATATAAATATGTTTTGGGTTTTTTTTTCACGACTTGAAGCATGGTCCACAGACACGATTATTTTTCCTCTTCTTACTGATAAGGATTCCAGTAATTAAAAGGTTTTTTTCCCTTCCTCCTGCAGCAGTTTAAGTGTTGCTTCAGAGAATAAAAAAGCTCAAAATTTAAAGTAATTTCAAAACCATTGTGACAGATAGCATTGTTGGGCCCAATGTGCTGTCCATACCCACTGCACTATATATTTCCCTGAATATGGGTCTGTCCAAAAGGCAGCAGTGCATGATGGGTAAGCAATCAGCAGGCTCTCTTAGGACTTTCCCTTTACGTAGTAAGGCCTTCTTTGATGTGCGCTGCAGTAAACACAGGCAGTTCTCTCCCAACCACAGTCTCCTGGGGGATGAAGCTCAGCACAAGAACACTAATGAGCACATTAGAAGGAAGCCATAGAAGGAAAATGCTACAGTTGTAAATGGAATTGTCTCTTGTGTTGTCTGTGCCAAGGATGCTCTGTCTACGGTAAGACACTGTCTGTATGCATCCAACTGCATGTATATGACGTGTGCAGAGTATATAGAGAACATGCAGTCTTCCAAAGAACAATTTAAATTTTTTTTTTTACTTTACGAAAGCCAAACGTAAGATTTTAAAATTGGATTTAAATTGTGGCTGCAAAAAATTGCGATATAACCACCGCTTTCAGTTGCACTATAATTACCAGCTGAAAGTAATCAGGCATTGGAGCTAAAGCGTGAAAGTGGGACTATGAAACTGAGGTAACATGTGCCACTGACAATAACAGTAGCAGACCATCATAAATGGAGCATTTATCATTTACTCCATTTAAGATAATCACAGGTCATAAAGGAGAGATGATATAACAATCCTGCCTGCCTGAAAACTGTTACAGCCATGGCTATGTCATGTTTTAAAGAGGAGTTTGTTATATAATACCAAAAGATCAAAATTTAACAAAGATTGAACACGTCTCAATATTTAGCACAAAACTCAGATCCATGCAGCACCATATGGCGGCAGTCATTGGCCCCCTTTTAGGGCACTTTGATTGGCCATATCTGTATACATTCATAATAAAGATATACTGTGACCTCCCTTGTGGGTCTTCAGTGATAACAATGTTAGCATACGTTCAGCTTTACATTCAGCTTACATGTTACCTTTATGTTCCAATGACAAATCTGCATGTAATACATATTTCCCCATCAGAAGTAAAGGTACATTTCAAAATAGAATAAATCCTGTATTTAATTCAAGCTATTGGACTTTCTAAAGATATTGATTGAAGGCAAATTCCATACTAGTGACTGAGAAGAAGTACTTGCCTTGGTATTCCTCTCAGATAACTCTGATCTCTCAAGCATCATCTGAATCTGTGATCCCCAGCCAGTAGATTCCTTGAAAGTTACCAAGGGAATCTGCAATCTGGATTGCCTTTGTGCAACGGGGAGAGTGAGAGACGTGAAAATGATTTCAAAGAGTCCAGGATGAATCACGCTCCCACTGCAGCTGCCATTTATTAGCACATATTCCACACTTTTTTTTTTTTTTTTTACAGGAACCTAGCAGTCTGAGTTTCATAGAGTTTTCTAGAGGCTTGCTTGCATTGGGGGGGTTTCATTTTGTAAAAATACTCAGTTAAAAATGTTGATAAATAAACCTAATGGCCACTTGTATGTTTGTCCTAATTAGTCATGACACTACATGTTAATAATGACTAAAAGCAAGGGACATATCATTTTTCAGCTATCACCTCAGTAATGAAGATGAAGATATATTTTAAAAAATAAGTTAGATATGATTTCCGTTCTGGTTTGACATAAAAAAAAAGTGAAAAAATATGTTTTTAATTAGTTTGACTGTTTTGATCAGTTGCAGGGTTTACACTGATCTATTCAGGGTCAGTCTATCACTTTGATAGTGAAGAGATGACAACACATAAAATATCACATCAAAACATCCAAATTGTGATTCTGCTTTGGTACATTCAAGAAACTGACTAATTGCTTTATGAACTTGCTCTATTTCTGACTGGGGGGATATTTAAAGAACTTAGCATTTCAACAGGATCCTGCTTGACAGGTGCTTGTTCAAAAGTGGCCGACTTATTTTCGCTATGCTGCAGATTTTTTTTTTTTACCATTTCTTGCCTGTCACTGTGATGAAAAGGGAACCCATAAGAAATTGACAGCCTGTATTGCTGAAGGCCAAACATATCTAAAGATGACTTGTTCCTTGATGTGGCCAACAGGGCTAAAAGAGTGGAGGTAATCCTTTAAGACTTAAGAGGGGGGGTTTTTTGCAGATTTTTTTTAGATGTAATCAGTACAGGTTGTTTGTTTGTAGACCTTGTGCCTGGTGAAGAATAGCAGTGCCTTTATTTTGTAGAGTGACAGGCGAGAGACTGAGAGGCCTTTTTATTCCATCTTAAGAAAATAGAGAGTGTGCTGGAATGTGTGTGTTTACTTTCACAAGTTTTATAGGTCAAACGATTCATTGGGTACTGGTATAGGCGCAATATTAGAAATAACAGGACATTTCAAAGATCTGCTATTCTAGAAACTGGTGCACATTTGATGTATTCCATAATATGTTTAATTTAAGACACTAACATCAGCCGACCTCTCTCTGGGTGTGAAACTGGAAAATATAGCCAATATACAAAAGCTGCTGCTATAATGTGCTTTGCAGTTTTGTGGGAGTTTTGTCCCTCGTGAAAAAAAATATATGGAGACATCATACATCATCATTGATTCCCAGAGTGTTGTGTCATTGGTACCACAGTGACCTTGTGTAGCTCACATCCTACCCTTCTGCTCTGTCAACAACATGTGACAAATGAAATGATGCTGCACTTGAACCACTTTTTATTCAGAGAATAATATAGTAACAATAGAAGTGTAAGGTGACAAGTGAAAAAATAAAGTTTTTGAAATGTTTTAACTGATAAGATTACTCGCGACGCAGGTACTAAAAGGGTGTTTGTTATCTGCATGAACTTGGCTTTTTCTAATGTAAATACATCAATGACTAGGCTCACAGCACAAAATCAATTTGGTCTTTTATCAAAAAAAGCTCTGCTCCATGTGTTTAAGCCTAAACCACTGACCTAACATTGCGGGAGTTGTCTGTATATCAAACGTTCTTCACATGTGGTCACTGCTGCTGTCTGAATAAAAGATACAAGGGACTTTAAACGCCATGACAATTATTGCCAGGGACGTGCGTACCACAGGGGGACGTTATGTTCTATTTTCTATTATTAAAGTTGCATCTTGGAATAGATAACCTTTTGAACAATCCACTGTGGGAATTTGCGGAATTAATAATACAAGATGTAATCCGGTGTCTTTTAAAGCCTAGAGAGTGAAAGAGTCAGCTTTGGTTCGAGACCTACTTTCATATGCACCACAGTGATCTGATCTAAAAATTGTTCTAACTGGAAATCCAAAAGCAAGATATGCAACAGATACAGAACGTAAATGCTTTACTTTTCTTTCCCTTTATACATCCTTAATACATCCCCCTACATAAATTTAATGAAAGAGACCCAAAACGCATCTGAAAATATTGAATATGAGCCACTACAGTAAGTGGGTTAAATTATATCTTCCAAAGTTTTTACTCTGACAGAGTGGAGTCTTGGTTGTCCCCAAGAGCGCCACATATCTCTTTTTGTGTTCCCTCTGATTCCTCATCATCTCTTGGGCCTTACATCAAGAGCCCCCGGATTTATCGACCAATGGCCATAAACAAAACACAGATTGAACTGGACACTGGGGCACAACAAATGGATTACCGAGTTTTTATTCCTCTGCATGTGATTGGTCACTAGAGCTGTTGGCCAGCAGAAGTGCGGCACACAAAGCAAAACTGGGCAACAAAGATGTAGCAGACTCATACAAAAAAGGATGATAGAAATAGTCACGGGATGACAATTAGGAGAATATGGTGTGTGAGTGTGCATGTGTGAATTTAAATGGTGTGTCTGTCTGCCTAACATTGGATGAAAACAGAATCAGATATCTTATCCAATTGTATTGGCAAGGTATTGAGCATAATACCAGTGAGTCCAATTTTCAATGCTTGACTAAATGATGGAGTGAAAGAGCTTCTGAGTGTTTTATTGTATACCTGTCTGTTTGTATCTATGTATGCCAACATGTGTGTCCTAGCGTATTAATGATGTTGATGGAATATCTGCATACCCTAGCCTGTGGTTGGACATGCTAGCTCACAATATTTATATGTTGCTATGACCACATGCCTGACAGCTGTGCATATTTCACAGGGTGGAGAACCCTGCATTGCAGTACTTGTACATGGCAGCCATGCTCTTTATGTGAGAGCAGTTCAGGGTCAGAATAGAAGAGGAGAATTAAAGCTACATCACTGGGCAAATCTCCTCTCTCTGTTTTGCCTCTACATAGTCAAACATATTTTTGTTTTTTTGTTTGTTTTCCAACTGTCTTTACTAAAGCAGCAGAAAAGGAAATTCACTAAGGAATTGTGGTTACACTACTTCATTTGAAACAAACAACAAAACAGACATCAGGAGTGCAGTACATATGTTTATTAAAAGAAACAAATGCAATGCATCCACCAAAAGCAGAACAATACTGATAACAATAAGTAAACAAAAGCATGTTATTGCGGTCAATAAAATGCATTACACCACTTAGGTTTCTCTATTACGTCAGGTCGAAGTTAAAATCTTTATGCCAAAAATGCAAATTTTACTCAGTAAGTAATTAATAAAGTTGTTCCTAGGGCTATCCAGGGTTTCTGGAATCAACTGTATTTTTAGAAGTATAACGGCATGCCATGTGTAGTAGCACTTCAAAGAAATTAAAGAAATGGAAAACGCTTTGATTTAAAATGCAAAGTTGAAAGAATGAGAGAAACTACCTTTATTTCAAGCTTTTCTGTTCAGTTGTAACTAAATCTGTCTCTCTGTCTTTTTCTGTATATAGCCGTGGCCCCCACACTTCCTAGTCTACGTTCAGAGGTCTTCAAGCCATGTGTGGAAGACAAGGACCTGGCCTTTTGTCTAAATGAGGGAGAGTGCTCCATCATTGAAACCGTGGCTGGGGTTCACAGACACTGCAGGTGAGTGGGATGGGGTTTGTCTGTTTGTGTGTGTGTGTGTGTGTGTGTGTGTGTGTGTGTGTGTGCGTGTGTGTGTGTGTGAAGCATTCGGTTTCTTTCTCAGCATTGACGTTTCCTCTCTTTGCCCTTCCTTCCAATCACTAACCTTGGGGTCATTTTCATTGAAGCTGCTTTTTTTTCCAGCCTGACAGACTGTGTTCTTAGAGTGATGAAACACAGGAAAATCGTTGTGCAAATGCACCTAAAATGAACTGAAGATCTATAATTACCCAAACCACCGAGGGACAGAGGGATCAGAAATGCTTTGGCTGCATTAGATGCAGCTGATTCTCTGATCCACACAATCAAACTACACAAATAGAAAGAAATGCTTACATGCAGATCCAACTAGGGAGCACATATGGAGCAACTGTCCTTAATGCGGTCAGACAAAACTTTGAATAGTGATAGCAGTCTTATAAAATGGCCTTCTCCTCATGTATTAACCTTGGTGTAAATGCTGTCTCATATGACATCTTTGGTATGATACGCATTTTAATGGTAGGTGTAAAAGAAGGGGCTCTTGCAAGATCCTTCTTTGATCTTACTTAAAAGAAACAGATTTTTTTCTGCAGTTCTCTTTCCTTTTTATTTTTTCCTTTTGTTCCACTCAGGCAGTCACTCACACCCTGAATGTCCGACAGAATAAATACAGTTAGCTACTGTAAATATACCCATAGTGGACTTGGACGCATAATGTGGCAGGCATAACTAAAATGTTGTCAATTACTTGGATTAAATTTATTGAAGAAACAAATCCAATCCTTTCTAATGCCTTTGACAACCTATTTGTCTGCATTAGCAAGGCTATACCATTTATCTGTCATGCCACCTAGTTTTGTTTCTCCATATTTATGACAGAGAGAAAGCAAACTGTTTTTATCACTCAAAATGGAAAATAGAAAGTGATTTAGAAGAGGGAGAAAAGTGAAAGTGGAATATATGTACAACAGAGAGTACATAAAATACTGCTTATCAGTCTTTTTGTTGCAGCATATTCAGTCATTTGTTAGGTATAATTTCTATGGCGTAAACCAATATTGACTCTAGATTTGTGTTTTTATTTTACTGCGAACCAGACACATGAGACAGTCTGCTAGGAAAGCATGCTTGTGTATTACTAATATGCATGTGATCATATGTGCATTACAGATTTATGATACATGCATACATGTACAATTGATCAGTGGATGCAAGTTCTTGGTTGGACCTTCAGCTTCCCTCTTCTTTGTATGTTTCTGCATGTCTGCTCCCCCTCGTGGCCTGATGCACTATCCACCTCAACTCTGCAATCACTCTGATATATCACTTTAAAAATACATGACAAGAAATTTTCTCAGAGGGAAGAGTTGTGCTGAATGGTGCTGAATTGAAAAACAGCTCATTAGTACACCTACCTGGAATTAAAGGGCCTAAATCTTCATCTAAAAAAGGGGTGCATTATAAATGATGCATGACTAAGTCAAGCTTCCTAGAAAAGTAAATGTTGAGCAAGAGAAAGTTGAAAAACAGTCAGGAAATGATACATTTACATTTTTGGTCAATAAAACAGTCACATGATTTTTTTTTAGCAATTGCAGACAATTAATCATATTTACTTTAATGTAATAATAATAGTTATTTGCAAAGTCTTGGAATTCATTTTTTTGCATAGATTAGATAGATGGATCAATTTTGGTAGTAACCAGGTATAAAAAATTAGAAGATTATATTCAACAATACTGATTTGACTATTAAACTCTTAATGCTTAAACACTCTGGGAATAATTCAGTTATAGGAAGTAGATTGGCTATTTGTCTCATGTCATTATGGTGGCCGACACAACAATTTAGAGCGTCCCATCTGTGCAACAGCAGCTTCAAGAAACCCTGAAGACTAAGTAGCAACTACCCTCTGGGCTATAATTAGTGACAGATGAATGACTACATATAGAACTCAGGAAAGACAAGAGGCCCAAACCTAGAACCAATTTCTCTTTAGCTGAGTGCCTGTTGTTTGAAAGAATGATTATGGGTCTGTGAATGCTTTTATTGAAAGGTTGTTTCTTCTGCTTGAGATGAAGTCCAGGCAGGAAGTCAGAAAAATATGATCAATTTACTCAAAAATCACTGTGGTGTTGATGAGATTTTCAAGAAGCGCTTTTATTGTAATCAGAAAATTTGATAATTTTCAAGATATCTTGGAACATGAGATTGAACCTGCAGGCTACATTAATGCTGCGTTTAAGGATTTCTACCCACTAGGGGGCAGAAAGTCCCCAAAACAATCTACTGAACATCAAATCTTATAAAAAATAAAATCGTCCACATTCCACAAAATTATTTTATTTAGATAATTTCAAGAAATTTGGAGAGACTTATACACTATTAAATTATCTAGTTATAATTACATAGTAAACTGTTGAATAAATCCATGATTAACTCGCCTTTTCAGTCTTGTGTGGTTCACCAGCTCCTGAGAGAACTGTCTCTTTTTGGCTTGCTAAATGTTCGACTCTCCTCACCAGCTATTTGTTTACTTCGGATCATGCTGAGCAGGTAGTGTACAGTCAGCTTGTGTGAGGTTGTTTGCTGAAAATGGCTGCCCACTGTTCTATTTTTTGGGGATTCAACCATATGGACTGACAAACCAAAACAATGAGCTGAAAGTTGCTGCTATACCCTTACTATATTCATACTTCGCTGTACACAATATTATATCTGTTCTTCCTGTCAGAGATGCTGTGCGTGGTGATAAACCGAGATTGCGTCCATCCACATTTCTGGATTTCTGGACTAAAAGGGAAAACGTTGCAAATGATTGCACCAAGGTTTAGGGTGCTGGAGATATTGCTGTTGATCAATCATCCCTTCAAGCAATGCCAGATCAGCGTCCTCATGACAATAACTGCTGATCTCTTCAGTCTGTTCTAAAGTACAGAAAAGTAAAGGCTTTAACGATTGCTGCCTGCTTTGACGTCATCGTCTGCTCCAGGCCACAGTGCAAAGAGCATAATAGATGGTTGGATGTTTTCCACCATTAGACAAGTAAAGATGTCACAACAATCTTTAAACATTTGAATCATTGGATGAGAACACAGTTTTGAACTTGGGAATCAATTTATTTTGTTATGAAACATTTCCTTTGCTCCCCTCCTCCTTTTCCCCTCCCCTCTGCCGGATGTTCATGTTTGCCAATGCTAATAAGGCTCCCAAAATAAACATGCAAATGTGAGTTTAAGACCTACTTCCACATCAGTGCTGTAGCTTATACACTAAGTACAATAAATGTACGAGAATTCAAAGGTCCTATGGCTCAACACATGAAGGCCCAATGACATAGAATTATCACTGTATGAATGTAGACTGCATTAAAAATTACACTATTCTTGATCAAGGACTTTAAAGCTAAGCCATTACTTCAGTGCCCTGCCAAATCCCCCAACATGCCTTAATCTGATTAGTAGACAATGCCAGTAAAATCACTTAAAGTTCAAACCAAAAATATTTTCTGCCTAAGACACCTTACTTGAGTCAGGAAATGTCAAATGTACTAGAAGTAGAATTAACATTATTTTGGACAGTATGTATTATATGCACATGCATAACATTTATTTAAATTAAATAATCTTTAAATCGTGAGACGTGGTATTTCCTGTAAGTGCAGAGATTGGAGAATACAATCTCATACAGTACATCCTCAGATGAGGGAAATTACTTTAATAAGACAAACTTCTAGCTTTAAAACTGTTAGTGCCTCCATTATCCCCAAAACCTCCATTACTGCTACAGTATGAGTCAAGTTCCAAATGAGAAGTAATTATATATCAATGCAGCGTCTGCTTACTTCATAGAAATCTAAAAGTAAAGAACTGGTCACACCTGAAATATTAAAAATCAGTTGTCACACACAGAGCAAATCACAGAGACTTGTAAATCTCAACATCGCCCTGTGTAGATGCAGATTGGTATCATATCTGCCTTCAGGAGCAGGAGAGACATGATTTTGACAACGTTTCTGATAGCAAAGGAAAGACTAAGATGATGACACACTTTTCTTTGGCTCTGAGATGTCAGACTCACTGAGCGCACAAAAGTAGAACGCATATATTCTATGAAATATAAAAAAAGCCAAAGGTGGAGGAATACATTATCAGCAGGTGTAGTAGATCTGGCCGTCATACCCAATCATGTCACTTGTTTTCCTATTCTTGTGTTCAGCACCGCATACCTCCGACAGTTTTGTGATTGTGAGTCTCTAATAAAACCACCACTAAAGCTTCTCCCCAAGGGGAAAGTATGTCCTTGTGCCAGAGGTAGAAAATCGCCACGGGCAGATATACGACACCTAGAATTAAATTAACATTGGAAGAGATAACACACGTTCTTGTGATCATACACAAACTGTTGCCCGGTGTAGGAATTCAGTGTTAATACGTGAAAAGACAAAAAGAACCTGCGGCAGACTGTTGGGACACTTTGGATGTGCCAATGCAGCATGAACCTGCCAGTGCCTGACTGTGTCATAGAGGATATGTCTACCTCCACAACTCGCTCCATGCATAATATTGCACGCTGGGGTTAAATATCAATCACAACACACAGTGTATTTAGTTGTGACTAAAATGTTATATTGGCTTAGAATTGTCAACAACAACATATCCACAGAGAGTTTGTATAGGATTTGTCCATGGCATTTGTTTTTGCACTTTTGGTATCATCTGTATTGACCTGCAGTACATGGGCAAATTATGGTAATTATTAATACTGGGATGTCCATGTTGAATAATCGCTACTGACACAAAACGTACTGTTCCACTTGAGCACAGCAAAGTTTATGGAAATTCACAGAATTTTAAATGTGTATTCTATTTCTTTTTGAATCAGTGTTAAAAAACAGTTCCATGTGGAGATGCCGGGAGGTTAATTGGTGGCGCATGCATTGGTTAGTTCTGTATCTGAGGGCTTTGAATTACAGGAGG